ATTGCCACTTAAATTGCTGTATTTTCCACTCAGTTAGTGAAGCTTTATTCAAATTCCTTACTTTAGGAGGCTTCAGCATAAGATTTTTTCATTTTGCAATTTCAGTCTGTTACTCATAGGGATTTCAAAGAAGACCATATTTACTAATAGTAATTTAAGTAGAATTCTTTTTTCTCCTGGGGCCATTTATTGTAGTACAATCAGTCTGATTAATCCTCTGCCTTCTTTTAATACCAAATGAATGCTATTCTAGCATATTTCTTAAAAGTTCTTACTAATTCTTTAAAAAATATTACTATTTTGTTTTAAAAATATGCTTATTTTTTCAATTTCCATATTTTTAACAGTTGACTTCAAGTGTTGTCTCTATGTGTTGGATTCATGTATTTAATTTCAATGATAATTTTCCTTGAGAAATGTCTGTCTTTCAGTACTATATCTATACTATCATGACTAGAGAAGAAAACTGACTACTAACCGTCATTTCTATGATGCTATGAGTTTTAGCCATGAAGTATCTAGTGATTTCTCTGTAAAGGAACAAAATATATAATGTTACTTATATAAAGCAGATCTGACTCAACGGCCGAGATTAAAAACATTTTAGTTATAGAAGTATTCAGAATGTGGAGCATGGCCATAAACTTTGTGTTGCAAATTTCTGTTTACAGTGATAATTTGGACTAAAACACAAATCTTAGTCAAAGTCTATTGGGACTTCTAAATTTGAAGTTTATTTTGAAGTTTTGAGAAAAAAAAAATGTATCTGTTAACTTGTGTTAAAGTGCAAAAACTGTATTTTTTCCTCCTTCAAGGAAGAATATTATTAGATGTTGAAATTTATTTTAATGTATGCAATATATTCAGAATATTAAGTTACAATAAAATAAAGTAGATACATATCCTAAAGCAAAATAATATTAATGAAATTATCATTTGCAACTGTTCACATCCCTCAGTAAATTGTAAAATCATTGTAAAAGCATTGTAAAATGTAAAAAAAAAATTGTAAAATGTTTAATGAGTTATTAAATAGATATTTAAAATTATATTTAAATCATTATTGGCTATGAGCATGATAAGACATATATAAGAAACTAGAATATGGGGATCTAGTATGATCTAGGGCCCCTTCATCAAATTTCTAGTGACCAGGCTCATGATCCAATCAAATAGAAATTTTCCAACAAAAAAAAATACTTACTTGCCCATGACAAACTTGTTTGTCATTAAAGTGGAGTTGTGTTTTCCCCATTAGACAGAAAACCTTTGAGCTCAAAACTTTAAAATGTTTTATTCTGGGGCAGTTCCATTCAGACATCATGTTGGACTAGGCTGTGGCTCCTGAATCTAAAATGAGTTCTTATTTTGGGGATGTAATAAGATAAATGAGTTCAAATGTAACGGACTGGTGTGTAACTACACAGTTAAATACTTCAGTAAATGCAGTTAGGTACTTGGCTGTGGCAGACATTTCCTTGATATTTGTCTGCACTTGAATAAAGTCTTGAGTTTTACAATCTCAGTCACAGTGGAACCTTCTGTTGTAGCTTTTCTTGTGTGCAGGTAAAATGGTTCTTCACAGAATACGAAAAGAGACAACATAACACACTGTCAGATTCTGTAGACCTTAGAAGTATCTTACAGAAATCTTGGGGAAAAGAAGGTATTGACTATAAAGAAATGTGTCTACTAACTTGCTCAGTATCTGTGTTAAAGTGCAAAAATTGTATTTTTTTTCTCCTTCGGAGTAGAATATGTAGTAAAACTACTTATTAGATATATTGTTTAGTTTTAGTTAATCCTGTGAGAAGCAAAGCATAAGACTGGATCCTTATTGGGCCTTTCCAACTTAAGATACTCTATGGTTCTGCAGTAATTCTGGTCTCATTAATATCACTGGAGGAAAATGCTGTGAATATATTATTCAATTATAGATGAATCTGCCAAAAACACATACTTTGTATAAAAAATAAAAATTTTGTGATAAGAAAAGGTGGCGTTAAAACCTTATCTGGAAACTAGGTAGGTTTCATGTCATATTTCAAATAGAAATTGTCACAAAAAAACCCCAAAACTAAAAATCCTACAAGAACTGGTGTGATTTAGAGCTGAACAGACTTAGAAAAGAACTTAGAAGAAAATGTGTGTCCTGGGAGATCCTTCCATATGGGATAAAACATCTGCCGTAATTTTAAGATGGAAATAGGTATGACCATTTGAGAAGGCAGAGGTCCAGAATTGTGCATCCTTCTCAACTCTGTTCCAACAGATATGGCCTTCCATATGTTTTATGTGATTTTTGGCACAATAGTCAAACTAAAAAATTCTTCCCTTAGTACAAGAGACAGGATGGGGTTATATCTGCAATGACATCTATGTCTTGATTTTTTTATTTTCTTGCTTTCTTTAGTAAAGATGAAAAAATATTGGAGTCTTAGCTGAAAAGCACTCAGCGAACAGGGTCACAGTGCTGCCTAACAAATATGAGGCAAAATCAAGGTGGTGTTTAAATTTAAAAAGCCTGTGACAGTTTTATTTTTATTTTTTTCCTTACTGTTTTAATCAGAGAAATATCTTTCTTAAAATGAACTTCTCATCTTCTTATGGGGTTTATAGGAACCCCTGCCAAGTATACAGAAGATACTCAGGGCATTTCCTACTTTCAAAGAAACTGCTGGAGCATTTAATATTATCTTATTGAAATAGATATATAAGAAAGTTCTCTTTATGCATTTTGGGATCATGAGAGAAACTTGAAATTATATGTGATTTTAGTGCTATACTGCTAGAACAGTTGGTGGAGCTACTAGTGACAAGGATAAAGCATTATGATCCTCACGGTAGTTAGATACTTCATTTTGATCTCATGATTTTAGGATGTATAGATATATATGCATCCCAAAAAAAGAGAGAGAACTAAATCTTCCCTTATGTCCTGCCTTCAGCACAATAAAGTTTAAAACTAATTTTCTTATACTAAAGTTTGCATATAAGTTTTTGAAACTAAAAACTTTCCCATTTTCTTTACTCACTTTTCAGAAAAGAGTAATTTTTCAGAACCTGCTTGCAAGTGAGAGAAGTCAAATGATCCTTATTAGCTATCTATAAGCATTGATTCAGTATCACACCCTCTGAAGCAAAAAAGAAGAGGAAAGTAATCGTAATACAGAAGAATTTGTTTGTTTAAATTAATTTAAAAATGTGACTCCTGTATTTATGAGGATAGTACAGAAGACAGATGTTCTACTAGGTAACACTTGGTCTGTTTCAAATTGAAATAGAAGGTTCTAAAAATCCCATGCTTCTTACATGCATATGCATAAGCATGAAATGTTCCGATACATTTGATGTCAATGTAAAAAACTGAAGCAATTTATTTGAAAAATGTCAAAGCAGGATATTCTTAATTCTAATACTTTCCTATATTCCTATTTTTCAGTAAAATTAATTTTCAGGACAGTAGTACCAAATTTTGTGAACGATATTTATTTTTATGAAAATGTATATTTAAATTATATCAATTTCTTTTATCCAAATGGCTCCATAAATTTGTGTTACAATGTGTATAAGTTGTGGTTAATTTCAATATATCATACTTCAATTTCCAAAACAAGAGATCTGTTTCAAACTGTATCAATTTAAGGAAAAAACACTGATGAATTAAAACAGATTGGTATACTACTTTTAGTCAGCTTGTCCAAAATCTATACTTTTGATGCAAAGGAGGTTACAGTGCAAAACCATATTAAAATAATTCTGAAACTACTTAAGATACTTTGCTTTAGTAGCTATTATATGTTTCAAATTTACCCAGAAACAACATTTCATCATTCTATGGTATATTTTATTACTGATTATTGCAACCACTAACTTTAGGAGTCTGAAACAAGTTAAGCTAAAACCTTAGTTCTTTGAAAATATAATGTTTATAAATTTTCAGGGTTCTCTACTTACTTCAATGGAACTCACTCCAGTCTATCAATGTCTTTTATGTACTGGTGTGCTCAGAACTGGACCCAGCCCTCCAGATTTGACCTCATGAATGATGAGCAGAGGAGAAGGATCCCCTCTCTTGACCTGCTGGCAATGCACTTCATAATATATTCTGGAAAACTGTTGGCTTTGTTTGCTACAAGGACACATTCCTGGCTCATGTCCAACTTAAGGACCACACCAGATCATTTTGTGAAAGGCTCCTTCCCAGCTACACTGTCCACGGCATGTGCTGGTTCCCTAGCATAGGACTTGGCTTTTCCCTTTATTGAATTCCATGATATTTCTGTCAGCCTGTGATCAAAGAAATTATCAGGGCCTAATTTAAAGGCATCATCATAGGTGAAAAACGTCCCCTGACTGAAACTGAGCCCACAGTGTTGACTGTCCCTACTTTTATTTTAATCTTTGCTTCTGCATGTATAATTAACTAAATGTGAAAAAAAATTCTGACAGTGATGGATGAAAATGAATAGAACTTTAGGCTCATACAATTTTGATTTTCTCTCTGTACTGTAGTCAAACCTATAAAAAGCTTATCTTTTAGTTTATAGACAATTATTAGGTAAGTCACACATAAATCTATATGATTGACATATATCAAATACAAAGGTATCTTTTTTGAGGTTTGTCAAATAAGAAAATTTAGCTTTTGGGTAGTTTAAGAGGTATGTCATATTTTAATTAAGAAATTACATTTTGTTAAAAATTTATGTCTTATTCAGTGAGGTAAGAGTTCCCATTCATTGATTTTTCTATTAAGTAGCTATTTAAGCAGATGCAATATATGAGAAAACCCTATGGGCTAGGAATGTTTTATAAATTGGATTGTTTACTAATATAATAATTGATTCAATAAATATTACTTTGATTTCTCTATAACCTCAAACAAATCAATTTTCTAGCAGCATCTGACATCAGCTTAAGAGAAAGGTTATGCCTAGCCCTTGCTCCTGTACAAACAAGCTAATTCTGATAATTTGTTTGTTTTCTTTCCCTCACAGGAGTCATCAGGACTGCCTTGCACAACATGGACAGGGAAGCCAGAGAGCATTATTCTGTTGTCATTCAAGCCAAAGATATGGCTGGGCAGGTCGGAGGGCTGTCAGGGTCAACAACTGTAAATATCACGCTCACTGATGTCAACGACAATCCACCCAGGTTTCCTCAGAGTATGTACAATTTCAACATATAACTGATTTCAAAATCATTTTGATTTTCAGTGAAGTGAGAAGTTATTAGTGAAATCCAGTTAGTAGTCAAATTCATGGGGAGAAGGAGCTTGGGAAGTGTTTGAATTCACCAATATTTTATAATTTTCCATTGTTTTCAGATGAACTACAGAGTTCAGATGAACCATAGCTAGAATACTGAAACCGGTTAAAGACGTCTTTCAGTTAACCACTGGATAGGAGTGGGATAGGTGACAAAGGAATACTCTTGTCATATGTGGATTATTCTCCAGTCCTTTTTGAATGCATATTTCAATAACTGTATGTTTGATCCCACAAGGGAATTATGCTATTCCTATGGTAGATAACAACAATAGATAATGCATTAAAAGATTTAATCCAGCGTGCCTTTGGCTGCTTCCATACACATCTATCAATTTTTTTCTTCTGTTTCTTTCTCTATACCAAAGTAAACCTTAAGGATCAATATGACATTACAGATGGGCAAAAGCCCATCTGTTGTTGAGCTACGATGGAATCTGCCTCTATTCTAGTTAAGTAAATTGTTAATGTTGATGTCAAATATTGTTATCACATGCATATATGAAGAATTTATACTAGAATGCTCTTAGAATATCTTAATATGACCAGTAACAGGAAATTATTTTCTGTCCAGCTTACTGGATGTAGATTGATCTGACACAGTAGCTGCAGTCTTGTAGGAATTCTGAATTCAGTCGATAATTTATTTAAAAATCCTCTGGAATGTAAATGCATTTCCTTGTCGTGATGGCTCAAAACCAGTAAGAATATTGTAATCTGGTCTTAGACATTGTGTAAGTTGTTGTAGAACTTAATGGATTGGGAGCTATAGGTACCTCCACCAGGAAATGCATTAAGCTGTTTGAATCAGAAGATTTATAAAGTAGTAGAGATCATAAAGCTCCATGGAAAAACAAAGCTCTCTGACAATACATATTATAAAAAATCTGACCAAATAGTAAGTAGGTTTATGGAAAGTGTTGTAGAAATGAATATTTTTTCTGTGCCTCAGAAGCACATGAAAACATAAAGTCTTTCAAACACAGCCTTGAATAAAATATATTTTGCTTTATGTTCAAAATTTTCATTGCATCCATGATTTTATTTAATACTTTCTAACTATTGGAAAGGCAAAAGGTAAGGCCTATCTTTGAACAGATTTAACATCTGAAAGAGCTAAAGAAGAAGAAATGTCCTAAATTTCCTTCAAACTCGATGCAGAAATGAATCCTTACATATCAGATGTCAAAAATTGGCCTATTTTATTTTGAATGGAAGGGTTTGATATCAAACTGACTGGCAGGCAGAAATGTACATTTGTATATACATTTTTTTAATTCTATTAATTTTTTAAAGAAATATAATGTATTCAAATTATACTTTATACATTTGAAGGGATTATAATAACATTGAAAACCAAAAAACATCGTTTCACATTTAATGAAAACTTTTTATTTAACAGAGAAAAAAAAAATTTTAATATTTATAAGTTTTAACATAAAATATTTTTCTTCGAACAAGTCTTGTAGAATACAAGCATTTGCTTTCTTTACCACAGTTATGAATGACATTGCTTCTTTACTCCATTTCAAGAAATATATTTTAAAACCCTTGGAAGAGAACAGAAGCTATATGTCAGTAATAGAGATTCAAAGTACAGTTGATCTAAAAAAGGCCATTGTAGCATCATGAATTATTACAATAATACACGAGTCTTGCACTAATAGAAATAACTTCATTGTTTATTTTTCTTCTCTTCTGTGTGCCATGATTTTCAGTTAAATTTCTCTTCAATTTCCTTATTAGACGGAATGCTAAATGAGACTTACTGAGGCCTGTCACATTCAGAATTGAATTCAAGGGAAGTGCTAACCAAAACTGCACATATCGAGTGTATAACCCTTGGGACAGGCTGAGCCTCAGCTAAACCACAGACTTTCTTTTGGTCAGTTTCCTTTTCTCCGTTACCATACTTTTGAGTTTTGAATCTGATTCTAACTGTATGAGTACCTGACTTGAGAACATGCTGAGAAACACATCTGATTGATGATTTTATTAGTTGTTTTCTTTAGAAATATACTTTATTGTATATATTTAAAAGATTGTACTTTTCTGGCTTTGGTAGAACATTGGTCATTAGACATGCATTTGCAGTAGGATATGCAGGATTTTTTCCCCTTAAAGAAACCCTTTAAAACCCTACTTAAGACTTAGAAATAAAGGTTTTTAATATGTCTGCTTAAATGAATTTACTTTGTTTTTCTCTGTACTTACTCTAAATATAGCTTTCTTGCAAAGAAATTTCTAAAAAAAGAGCTACAGTTTTCTGAAACATCAAAAAAATCTAGAAGGAATAATGTGAACAGGACTGCATAACTTTATCAGTCTGATGGCTACCGTTCTGAAATAGTTGTTAATAAACATTTCTGTAATAAGAAACATAGCTGAAAAATTCTGTGTGCAAGACACACTACTCTGTACCTGAAGTTGGCAAGGAGTTGGAAATTCAGTGGGAGAATAGCCTAAAACCTCAAATGCATTTTACTCATCAGTTAATTCAATGCATCTTGAATAATACTGATTTCTTTTTCTTCATCATCACAAATTTCCTTTCTTTAGAGAGATGAGTTATAAAGAACTATCTATTTAATGTAAACTGACAGACAGTGCTCTGCATGGGAAGATTTTTGCATCTCTCCATTCTTGTTAGTTTTACCACTGATGGATCCATGTGGCTGATGACTGACGGCCCTAATATCAAAGTCATAAATTTATTCCAGTAATTTAATAGAAGATGTTCCATCTACTGATGACACTGTTATCAACCTTGAGTTACTTCAAAATCTTTTGTGTACTTTTCCTTCATTAATTCTTTCTTGGGTTCCTTAAGATGAATAAATTTTGTGTGCTCTGCTTTGTTTAGTATGAAGAGATTCTGATTGCATCCAGACTATCACACTAGACAGATGCTTCAACTGACTTGCTTTGTACATCAAGTGCTAATTATTATATTCTGGCCAGTGTATAGGAGATCTGTGGTTATTGTGTTATTATGTAGTTATTGTCTAGAGTCTAATTTGTAGATTTTGTTTGATACATCTAGCTCAGTTTTTTAGGATAAAGCAGGATTTAAACACAAGTCATGGCTTAAAACACTTTTCATATATCTTGATGGTTGAGATTTGGTTGTTTCATGGTAGTGTGTAAGTATAATATGAAATTATGTAGATTCATAGCTTGGCCTAGAGTTTTACAATGTCATTGTATGAAAAGTACACATTTATGTTAAATAGGAATATTGCATGAAGATGCTCCTGTTAGTTCTAAAAAAGTAAAGTCTCATTCCAGAAGTAGATATTAACTCTGTTTAGTGCAAGAAGGTGTTCTACAATCCAGCCTTGTTAATATGACTCATTAGCTAATTATGTGCAAAAGTATCTGTTATTCATTTTCTTTTGAAATTCATATTCCAGTGTGGTTCCTTCTGTATCCCCAGTTCCACATAGTACATCCAGTTCCTATGATTCCCATACTCACCCATCAGGATCCTCTCACTGTCCTGTCCTACTGTGGTGACTAGTTCAGAGCTATCTGCCTGCTGTTTTACCATTTGGATGCTGCCAAATGAGACGAGTAAAGCAGAATTTTTCCTGATTTTCGTTTAGCAGATCTCTCTTTATTGACCCACTAAGTGCTAAGAGGCTTGTGGAATCATAATGTGTTTTAGGCCTCTGCCCTCTTGTTAGATTTGTCTGACATTGCAGAAGGGTTAAAAAAAAGTTACTGGAGGCTATTGAGTTAAAATGATTACAGAAGTGCGCAGGGCCAGGTTGGCTGGTGCTCTGAGCAACCTGGTCTAGTGAAAGTTGTCCCTACCTGTGGCAGGAGAGTTAAAAACATTATATTTAAGGTCCCTTCAAACCCAAGCCATTCTATGAGTCTATGATTCTCCATGATGATGATGAGTCCCGCACTGATCCAATATCCAGGGAGTATTAGAAAGCATTTCATTCCATAAATTATTCTAGATTTAATTGTTGCTTATTTATTAAGATTTTTTTTCATTATAATTAGGGGAATGTCTTTTTTAAATTTCACACTCATCACTTTCTGTCTTTGCAACTATTATGTTTTCTCATAATAGTCAAAGAACACAATTTTACTGCTAAAACGTATTTTGCTTCTCACATATTCTTAAAGGGGGAGATTTTTTCCCAATGATTTGCGGAACAATTAATAAGTTCATTAATTTTGTTTATAAAGTGTAAGCTCAGGTTTCAAAGTGAGCGACCAGTGAGTGACATTTGCTTTGTGAGTACAGTTGGTGTACAGTCTCTCTCTAAAGACTTCTAGAGATCATGCCCAGCTGTTGAGTTGCTCATTAGCAATGACTATGGAGTGTAGATGTTGTTTTTCAGTGCTGCTTGCATAGCAAATGCATATTTGGGTATTCAATGCCTACAGGAAGTACTGATTCTGAAAATTCAGGAAACCTGGTTTTCTTTATCTTTCTGCTTTTACTTATGAGTGGCATAAACATCACACTTTTTACAAGAAGTGAGAATGCTTTTGATCTCTGAGAACTAGTCAGAAAGTTCTCAAGAACTTTTAGTTCCTGCCTCTAAAGACAAAGTGTTGTGGAACATAAACCCTGATTAAAATCTTAATCACAACCATAACTTCTGCTTTACATATGGATTGAAAAAAGCAGGGGCAGGGGGGTGCACAAGTCTTATTACAGCCAACAGATTTTATTGCATTGAAGAATAATGTTTGGGGTTTTTTTCTAAATTGACCCAAGACTGCTATGTTCTCCAGAGTTTCAAGGCAAACAAATTTTGAAGGGTTTGAGTTTGCAAATAAGAGGTAACTTCACTTACACTTCAAAGATTTTAAGAAAGTGCAAAAGCATTGTTTTTGTGGCAGGGAAGAAGAATAAGCCAAAAAATACCTCTTAAAAATTTCTTTTTTAAGTTCTAGTTGTATGAAAGAGATATAAGCATCAAAAAGAATATCCAGATCAAGGACAGTAGATATAAAATTGACTGAGCTGCAGGAATCATAAAAGTTGCTGTATTTGTAATGATGATGGATTAAAATTGGATTTATTATATTAAAAATAAGCACAGTACAGGAAGGTATGACAAATGTCCAAGACATACTGTGAGAAATAAACTTCTATAAAACTGCAGTCTCAAAAGAGAAATAGAGATTATTCTATTATATTTAATGAAAACAAGCAGCTCTGTGAATGCAGAATAACTTTCTCAAACCAAGCCACCAAGGAAGATTGAGCACAATTCACAGTTGGAGCTCCACTTTAGTTTTATCAAAGATGGCAGGCAGTAAAACATAAGACAAACTTTCATAAATTACAGGATTGTAAGTTCACATGAACAGAAAAGGCAATCTGACCTGAAGCCATGCTTAAAGTAGGGTCAGTTAGATCAAGCAGTTAAGAGCTTTGTCTAGTAAAGTGTTAAAAGGTCGTTTTCACATTCTTTTTTGGAAAACTGCTGTTTAATGGGCTGGCCCCAGCATGTACTGATGAATGGCATTATTCCTTCCCCGGTGCCATCATTGGATGTCATGAGGTCATGTCAGCCCATTTCTCCAGGATGTTCACATCCCTTTGGACACCAGCCCTGCCCTCCAGCATACCGACCAGCTTTTCACAAGATGGTGTTGTCCACATGCAACCCATTACTCAGGTGATTAATTATGACATCAGATATTTTTGGCCACAGTTTTGATTGCCGCACAACTACTTTTTAATTGGAATTTTGTTCTCACAATTGTCAGACGTCAAGCTTGGCTCACTGTTTTCTTATTCTCCAAAATTCATCAGTTTGGTTCATGAATGAATATTTACCTGAAGGAAAACTTTCTTCACATAGCACTTTGATATACGTTTTGGATATGGTGGTATTTTATGTTAAGACAGTGAGATGCTGAATTTATCAGTTTACTAGTAGATAGAAAAAGACATCAGTGTATGAGCTGTGATAAATACATCTCTTGGTTCATCACCAAGCAGTATTTATCCTCATGTTGCTAAAACTATGCCTTGGATTAAAAAAGTAACAAGAAGGCCAGATACTTGCTTATTTCTTTATTAGTTCAGTTTTATACCTCTTCTCCTTTCCTTTGTTAAGGTAATTCCTACTGTTCAAGAAGAAATTATAACCTGTAAAAGTAAGCCAAAATTTTCAACAAAATAGATTAATGAATAAAAATAAATTGAATAATATGCTTAATGATTTTCATTAAATATTGTCGTACTTCTTTTTTGAGAGGTTTAGATGAAGAAATCACTTTTCTTAGAGTAAATAACTCCACTGCAGTTTGCCTGTAGGCTAACCAATATAAAAGTAAATTGTTCTAAAGATAAATAAATTGTTTCTATACTATAATTACAGATAAACCATAAAGTTTATTAAAAGATGAAGATCACATACATGCATTTGAAAAATGTTTCAATTATCATAGATTAAAGTCCTGCAAAGTGATATGACTATCCTATACATTACATTATCTGGAAATTAATAATAATTTCCTCCTTTCATGGGAATCATCTGAGTGAATGTTATAAAAAGTGAGAACCAAATCAAACTCTATAGATTCTTGACCCACAAGAAACTGGGCACCTCTTCTAAAAAAAATTAGACCATCCTGGAAATTTCTGCTTTACAGCAGCTCCTAGAAGTTTGTGATGCTGGAGGGAATGATCTGTTCAACTTTGACAGATTTGGTGAAGCACTTTTGTTATAGACTGATGATACCTCATCCTCAGGGCTCCCATCTTCCCAATTAAATTTTTTTAGAGGGTTGAGACAGACTCACAGCTTGCAATACGGAATCATAAATTCACAACATACACATCCCACATTTTATAATGATTCTCAAACTTCCTTTATCCAGTGCCCAAGGAAATGTTCAAAGAATCACAGAATAAGCTGAGTTGGAAGGGTCCCATCAGGATCATCGAGTAGTACAACTGACACTGTATAGGACCATCCCAAAGAATCACAATATGTGCCTGAGCGTGTTGCCCAAACACTGTCAGGCTTGGTGCTGTGACAACATCCCTGAGGAGCCTGTTCCAGTGTTCAATTGAGCCTTTAGTTGTTTCCTCTTACTAGAAATAAACTTTACAGAGATTCAGTGTTTAGTAAGAACATTTCTAATTTCCATTACTAGCCTAAATACATGTTTATAATATAGTTTATCTAACCTTTATGTTGCTGAATTTTATCCTCTATGTTTGTTGGTTTTAGATAGTGTTTTTTGTATATATCTATTTGGCTCATGTCTGTATGAGACATCTTCAGGTCATCTCTGTGAAGCAGTGGTTATACACTTGTTGGGAGACATTTCTGACCCTGTGATCTAACATTTTTTATTTTTTAAAACAGTTTTCTTTTAACTCCATTTACATCGTTGAAACATTTCAGTTCTTTGAATACTGACAGATAATTAATGAGTCATTTCAAATATTTGTTTTGCTTGAAGTTTTAGTATTTAAGAATGTTTCAAGCTGCTATCAGAAAAATGATTTTCTGAAACAGATGGCCAACACTTGGGGTGTGATTATAAAGCAGAGTGGAGTGTCATGTAGATATATTTGAACTAGCTAAACTATTTGGAAGTCTCCAATTAATTCACCCTGTCATATGAGTTATAACACATCCAGTTCCTGAAGTGTCTTGATTATATAACGAATCCTTAATAGCCTCAACCTTTCCCTTTTTGGAAATAATTAATCAGAGCAAAAGTGTCAAAAGAATACATTTTGCATGTGTTATAACAATAAGTAAATTCCAAAATGAATCTTATCCCATTACTATAATTTTATATAGGAATTAAAGCAACCAGCAGTATAAAAGTTTCAGTTGACATCATCTGTAAGCACAAAGCATGGCAGATCATTTATTTGGAAATTTGTGTAAGTGGCTTTTATATGCATACCAAAGAATTGCATTGAAGTATTAACTATATGTTTTCATTGAATTAAGTAAGTCTCCTGTTACATCATTGTTGATATTTTATTTTTTGCATGGCAAATCGTACTTTTTCTCTTGTTCTGCAGGACATTTCTTATTTTCCTTGAGATTTCCCTTATGAATGATAACTCATTTTTTTGTTTTCCTAGGAAACCTCGCCTTCCTTATGGACTAACAAAGTTTGATACTCTCATCCATCCTTCTCACATTACTATTTGTTTATAAGTATTATGGACTAGCACTACACAGATAATAGGTTTAGGAATCTCCTGTGTCTGTAAAATCAGTTAGCTGTATTTTTGTGATGATATCCATTCCCTTTCCAACTGCACATTCTGTCAATTCATAATTTCTTCATCCAGCCACTACTGGGTTTCTGCCATAATTCAGGTTTAATCTCTGAATTCAATTTAAATTTTGTCTTTCTTTCTCTACATGCTTACCGAGGGCACCTCTACAGTCACACTAGCTGATATAAACTCAGCAAACTGTAACAACATGTTAGCTTTCATAAATCCACTTTCAAATCTGCTGTTCCACTGTCCTGCAACTCAGTTTTGCACTGCTGCACTCACTACAACAGAAAACCTAAGAGGAACATAAAAGACACTTTGTAGAGTTTCAGAAGATGTGTAATAGAAGTTATTTTGCTCTCTTTTCTTGTTGGTGTTGGTGGTTGGACTGTGATCTAAACTCCTCAGACTGTTACAGGAAGGCATTTAGATTGTCACTGTTTAGGTAGGGAATAAGGATTCTGTTGGTATGTGCATATCTTTTATTGGATCCATATTCTCATTTTCAGCGCTGTTAGGTTTCAGAATCCCTTCTGTGTTACAGTGGTAACATTATTGGAGAGAAATTTTTTAAGCTGTTGTTTTTTGTCCCCCCCCTCAGAACATTATCAGCTGTATGTTCCTGAGTCAGCTCAAGTTGGATCAGCAGTTGGCAAAATCAAAGCAAATGATGCAGACACTGGTTCAAATGCAGACATGAAGTACACAATTATAAATGGTGATGGCTCTGGGGTATTCTCCATATCTACTGACAAAGAAACGAGGGAAGGAATTCTTTCCCTAAAGAAGGTAAGCCACAGACTTTGGAAGTTTCCTTTGTATTTAGTTAAAATATAATGATGAATGCTGAGTAAGCAGACACCACAAAAAAAAAAATTTACTCTGTAAACGTATATAGCTGTGAACTTCAGCAAGATAAGCTTCTCCATATTGTTTCCAGACACTTTTAATCTTTTCAGGAAAGGCAGGGAGTAAAAAATTAAAGGAAAGAAACAGTTACTTAAACCCTCTCTGTTTTTTAATGGTCTTATCTAATATTTACAATACTGATTTATAAAAATCTTACTGAATTTTAATTAAGATAGCTCACTTTTTTTGAGTGATAGTTTTGTACATTAAATTTCTTTGGAAGAAGTAAAATTTGGCTGAAAGTTGTACTGTTGTCCCCAAACTACTTGAATATTTACATAGAAAGCTTTCCTGTGACAATGAATGTGTAATTCAGTTTTCACAGACTGTTATTCTTTGATTTACTTGACAGCTAACATCTAAATGGTCCAGTATTGTGAAACTACCAAATAGTTATCATTTACATGAATTTCCTCTATTTGTTCCAGTCTATTTAAACCATTATTTATCAATTGTTCTTGCCTTTTAATTTCATTCTTAACTGAATTCAATGCATGAATCTAATTCCGTAGATAATTTCATCTCCATATTAATTCCTCTGAACTAGGATCATAGTGGACATTTCTTGAAGTGTCTGCCAACTTAAGCTAGGATTATATGACTAGATTTAAATTTAATTTTATAATAACCCAGAGATATGGGCTACTATATTTAAGATTTTTTAAAAAAATTTCCAACAAACGAAAATTTGTTGATTTCAGTTTTCACTTGGAGTAACAATTGTCAATTAACAATTCTCATGTGGACTTGTTGTTGCCGAGTCTTAAGGACATCAGTTATATCCATATAGCCTAAAAAGTGATTATGTATTTGCTAGTACATATTCTGGGCTTCACTAATGGTTAGAGGAATGAAATCCAGAGAAAATGTGAAAAAAAGACATTAAATAAAAACTATAAAAATGCATTTTTTGCTTTATTTTGTTTCTGAACAGATATATATGTATGCAAATTTTTATATAACATCTTAAAAAGAGTTTGTAACTAAAGGAAATGTTGTTTTTATAATTTGTAATGATTTAAAAAGGGCTTCTATCTCTTCCAGTCTCTTAAAAATATTTAACTCAGCGTCTTTTATAAAAGTTTTGTAATACCCACTTCTTTCAACCACATAAAAGTAAACTGTTTTTTTATACCACTGAACTTATTTCCTGGTGGCCTTGATGTAGCTAATGCCATAGTCTGTTATTTCTTCCTCAAAATGAGCACTCTACTGTATTTAAAAGTTCACCATGGCTACTGTTCATTAACTACAACATTTATGCATATTGAGAACATGAAGCAGAAAGAAAAAAATGAAAGACACATAAAAATGTGTTAAATCACATTTCTTACTGGTTTTGGCAGAAAAATAGCTTCAGAGAAATTTTCACTACGTTTCAGAATATGACAAAAGCATATGTTGCCTGTTCTTGTACATACACTACAGTGATTTGAATAATTTTCCCATCAAGACAAGAAGGGGTACATTTTGCTTAGGTAATGTTGTGTTCCAGTTGAGCAGAAATTCAGCACTTAAAGCTACATAAATTGGTGTGAATACCTCAATTATTTCCTCAGATATAATATTCCATTTTACAGTACAAAAAAGTGATCTTGTTTTTTCTTTTTTTTTTTTTTAATTCAGATTTTGTATGCAATTTAATAAGTATTTTATATTCTGTGTGCTACAATTGTTTTTAATTTAGGCTGGGTTTCAAGCTGAATTTGTTCGATAGTCTATCCATGTAAGACTCACATGCTGAAGCCACAAGCTTAACGGAGAGTATTACTTTTATATTTACGAATCCAAGAGTTCACCCACCAAACTTTCGCAGAGCATTTGGTTCTCAATACATTGAGATAGCCTAAAGAGAGAAATGCTCCACAGGTTTTCCCAGGAAAGGTTTTCAATTTTAGGAGGAAATAAGGATTTTGGCAAAAGTTTAAAAGGGGTAACAACCAACTAAGGTAAAGCATTCCACAAAGAACCAAGCCAGCACATGTCAACCCAAAAACTTAGCAGAATCCAACCCACTGCTTTTAAGTTACACAAAAGAGATATACAAAACAGTAAAGAAAGAGATTAGGAGAAGAAACAGGAGTAACGAAAGAGAGAGGAAGGAGATTACAAAAAGATATTTAAAGAAAAATAGCTACCACCAAAAAATCCTGCAGAAGTCCTGCTCAGCGTGGCGATAGCAGGTTGAGACAGAAAGGGCAAGACGGAGACCATGTGCTGGTGCAGTTTGGCCACCTTGGCCATCCCTCCCGGGCGGGACATCCAGCTCACTGACTGTGAGCCAGTTCTGTGCCTCCAGGCCAGAGTGAGGGTGGTGCAGCCAGTCAGAGGGTGTGTTAGGACTTCCAGGGGCCCTGGCATTGGGTGGGCTCCCAGGCTGCCCTTTTGACTGGCAGCTACTCTGTGTGAGTTCTGTGTACCCTGCCCTGCCCCCCTTCTCCCAGAGTTGGTTCCAATACAAAATTAAAATTACATTTTTACTGATCCAGTGTCTCACAAGCCAAAACAGATAAGCTCCACTAAGAACAGAATTGGTTTTGTTTTGTACATCAGATACCCATATGTTCTGTAACAGTGAAGTAGAATGATTTGTGCTCTAGTACTTCTCTAGAAGAATTTACTGTGGGAACACCAGAAAAGGCAGAAGTAAATTTATTATTTTGTCAAACAATCTGAAATCCTTCTCAAACCTTTTAAAACCTCACTTATTTGAGGTTCTGATGTAAAAATCAATTTCTCAGCCTACAGGTAGGCTTTTCAACAGGCACACAAAGGCTATGAGTCTATGGAGTAATAGTTTTTGGTCTCGTTCTGGAGAGTCATTCTTCAGTCTTAAAAATTCTTCCACAAAGGGCTGATTACAAACTGTTGTGTGACATTTTCAGTTTGGCATGAAAATCATAATATCCAATGAATTCATACTGAAGTTATGTGGGTAATTGCCATGGAAAAGCATTATTCTTCAGAAAAATAAGAAACATAAACAAGAATTCTGGGGGTTTTTTCATCTAAAATATATTTTTTTTGCTTTATTTCTGGAGGAAAGTTAATGATCTTCAGTGATGGGACAGTTTTAAGTAAATATAGAAATAATTTATGTATCTAGAGAAACAAGACAATTCTGCCTCTCACCTTATAGCTAATTATTGAGATGTTATGGGAAGAAGAGAAAGCAAATGAAAGCAAAAAACTGCTTTGGCTATGGTTGAAATGTCAGCTTTTTCTGATTATCGGAGTGGATTATTCCTGTATTCTTGGAAAAAAGAAGAGAAAAAAGTGTTAGTATTGTCTGATTGAATAACTATATTAAAGAAGAAAACAAGACTTTGTGTTATTACAAGAGTGTCATTTTGCATGTGTTTTCTGAGAGAAAATAATATTCCTATACAAATTCACCCAGTCATTGTCATTATAAACTTAATTTTCCAAAACGACATCATAGTTAAAAGTTACAATCCTATTATAAACTTGTTTAATCTTAGAATATATATGTTGCAGAGCAATGCAAATTGCTATTTAATATTTCCCTGCTTATAAGAAAAATACATCATACATTAATGTACATCTGGGTTAGAATTTATGAAAATTCTATTTCTTTATGAATTGATTTAATCAACTAGCATACTTAGCTCTTTTTTCTTATAGTAGTAGATTTACCATGCTATGGTTAATTTCTATGCCTTTAAATTTTTTATTTTTACATTCAGAAAAGGGAGACAGAGAATGTAAGGGTCAAAAGAGTCTCATACTATCAGAGGTAAGAGAATGAATTAACTGTCCGTCAGTACACAGAGAAGAAATCAAAGAAATATATAAAGCATATATAAATCCTAACTATTTTTCTTATACATCATCAGTCAAATTTAGTGCAGATTTTATCTACAAAGTACACACTAACATTGACAAGTCATACATTGAGTTCTTAATTTGTCCTGCCTATAATACTACTTCTCCACTCTTTGGGGTCATAGGAAATACCAGTTTAGCCCTGGATGAAGGCTTTGATGCTTGTACTGAGTTTTTTTCAAACAGGCTCTCAGATCCACACAGAATGATCAGAATTATACTGGTAGTACTGGAATTCTGTCATGCCATAATGTCATAAGAATTGTGATTCTAAAAAAGAAAAATAAAAAAAAGATTCCATGCATATGCAATTTCTTTTGATGTTATGCCTATGTTTTGAGCCTGTTGGAAACTTGGGGATATTATATATACCTGTAGAAACTATCTGCTTTGCGAAGATTAATAAAAAATATTAACCTACCTTTTATAAATTGGCTGAAGCCATAAATTTGTAGCACAATAAGTATTGAGGTCTCTATTATCAAGAATGAGTGCTTTTGCCCAACATAGAAGCACATTTAAAAAATAATAATGACAACTCTGTCTCATGATTGCCTGGAACTGAGCTGCTATTTTTAAAGCCTTTTAATTAATAATTAGAACTAACAGACAATATTTATACAAAAAAAAATTACTTGTCACATGAAATTCTTGATGGACTGAAGAAAACAACCCAAAATAATTGTAGTTCTGTAAATATGACTTTTAGTAAAAACATTGACTAGCTCTCTATCTGCAAATGAGCTTCATTACTTCTGTACTTTTAAGTTAAATATCCTTTTTAGTCCCCAGCTAACTGGGAGAGTTGGGAGTGAGGTGTGTCATGTCAATCTTATATCTTGAATAAGACAGTGCATTAGCATGCTAATGTAGGGTTAAAATAAATAAATCAAGTCAGTAAAATGAGTTCATAATAATCTGAAAACGAGATACTGGAGATAAAATTTTCACATGTGTAAATAGCAAGCTAGAAATGGGATTCCTAAGAAAGGAAATATCCATGCTGTGTGACATAAAAATCAGATTCCCAGCTTCTTCTCTCCTAGTAGAGAGGTAGGATTCATCATAGGAATACATTAATTTAAATAGAGGGCAATTGTAAAACAGCAAAGGTGTTCCTGGTGTATGGTACAGCTGGGGATGTGCCTTCTAGAGAGTTTTACAGCACATTAGTCTCTGTAGAAGGCATATCCCCAGCTGCAGACTTCCATTGCATTCATAATGGAATGTGCAGTACAGCAGTATATGGTAGGACTGGCTGAAATTTTGTCTCTCTTGTAACTGGAGATGACTTGAAGTGAAAATGGTCTAGAATATATATAGAAGTGCATTTTTCTGATTCAAAAAACCCAAAGGCTCATGTTTAGGCTATTCTTAAACAGTTATAGTATTCTAGATTCTTTAAGGTTGGAAAAGACCTCCAAGATTATCCAGTGCAACCTTTGATCATCGCCATGCCACCTTAAATGTAGCAAGTCCCCTATCCAGTTGTTTCTTGAACACTTCCAGGGATGATGACTTCCTCTGGGCAGTCCATTCCAAAGCTTAATCACCCTATCAGAAAGAAATTCTTACAAATATCCAACCTGAACCTCCCCTGATGCAGCTTGAGAGCATGTCCAGATCCTTCTGTAGAGTCTTCCCACCGTCCAGTAGATCAATACCCCAGCCCAGCTTAGCCTCATCTGTGAACTGACTGAGGGTGCACTCAATCCTGTTGTCCAAATCATTGAAATAGATATTAAACAAGACTGGCCCCAGTACTGAACCTTGGGGAACCCCACTAGTGACCAGCCACTAAGAAGATGTAGCACCATTTACTACCACTCAGTGAGCCTGCTCATCTGACCAGTTTTTAACCTATCAAAGAGTGCACCTTTTAAAGTCATGGGCTGCCAGCTTCTCCAGGAAAATGCTGTGGGAGACAACACCAAAGGCTTTACTGAAGTCCAGATGGACTACATCCATAGCCTGTCTTTTCACTGGATGTGTCAACTGGTCATAAAAATTCATGTCTCTCATAGTAACTGAGTGTTTTCCTGCAAGGAGTTGCTTTTTTCAGCTGAGGATTTAAGAGATGGCCAAAAGAAATTTAGTATCTCTGTTACTGTCTATTAAAGCTTTTATTAAAGATACAAAGTTAACTTAATTCAGGATATATCAATCTCTTTTTCTGGATTTAGAATTTACTGATAAAAATCAAAAGGTGATAAAATCCAGAAATGTTGCATTATCATGGAAGAAGAATCTGAGGCTCATTCTGAATCTTGAGTTATTTCTAAAACTGGTACATTGTCCAATATTCTGTTGCAAAGAAAAACCGAATCCATCCTGCTTCATGTAAATCATTCTACTTAGAAGGTGTGGCAGTGGCTGTGAGAATATCAAAGGATATTGTCCCCTTCCAGTAACATGAAAAAAATGTTGTTTAAGTTAAGTAGAAAAGATGTGGTTAACCTGTTGACAGACTAAACTGAAAAACAGACTGACACTGATAAATCTTTGGTTTTTTTCTGCTGACAGCCTCTCAACTATGAAAAAAAGAAATCATATACTCTTAATATAGAAGGAGCAAATACTCATGTTGATTACCGCTTTTCACACTTGGGACCATTCAAAGATGTAACAATGCTGAAGATCATTGTTGGCGACGTGGATGAACCTCCGCTCTTCACCATGCCTTCCTATGTCATGGAAGTTTATGAAAACGCAAAGATTGGGACTCCTGTTGGCACAGTAATGGCACAAGATCCCGATGCTGCAAACAGTCTAGTGAGGTATAGTAAATCCAAGTTACATGAGACCAAATTTCACAATCTAAAGGTTTAATGAGATCTGGGATATTTGAAGACTATTTTTTTTTATTACATAAATGGGAACAGAGGTCATAACAGTGTTGTGATCAGTCAGTATGGATTTAATAACATAATCTTCTACCTTTTGGTTTACACTAAAATTCCCATCTAGTAATTGGTCTGAACAAAGATCTGAAGTCAGTATCCTGCCAGTAGTTGCAAATCTGTTAGGGATGATAGCACTGTTTTTTGCCTTTGGCTCTCTGCCCACTTGCTGCACTGTAGGTGTCCCAGTAGCCTATGGAAGACAGCAACTGGTTTAGATACATCTTTTTTTAGAGACAACAAGGATCATTTCTGCAAAATTTTGGTTGAAGATGAACCCATTGTTTTGTAATATGCTTCAGCTTTAGTGGAGTATCAAAAGAATAGAATAGGTGTAATAATGAACCTCACTGATGTTGCTAGGGGTATGTCACCTCCAGTTGTGAGGTCTAGGGCAAAGAGAAGTGCTGAGAAACAAGCACTTGCAGCATCAGATACATCATTTGAAAGCGAAATGAATATGTAATATACTGGTGTGGTGGGTTGACTTTGGCTGCACTCTAGGTGCCCACCCAGCCACTCTATCACTCCCCTTCCCAGCTGGACAAGGGAGAGAGCAAGATGGAAAACAGCTCATGGGGTGGGATAAGGCAGTTTATTAAAACAAAAACAAAGCAAAAGCTTGTGCATACAGAAGCGAAGTGGAAGATAACACAGTTTATTCTCTACTTCCCATGAGCAGCGGTGGTCAGCCATTCTCTAGCAGCAGGGCTTCAGCACGTGTAAGGGTTCCTCAGCAGGCAGACATTGGAGACAATGAACGCCCGCCCTCCTGCTCCTTGCCTCAGCGTTTATATCTGAGCTGACGTCATATGCCATGGAATATCCTTTTGGTCAGTTTGGGTCAGCTGGCCTACTTGTGTCCCCTCCCAAGGTCTTGCCCTCAACTGAGAAAGGAATGTTACAGTATTGATGCTCAGCAGTAGCCAAAACACCAGTGTGTTATCAACACCCTTGTAGCTGCCAAGGCAAAACAAAACAATGTGAGGGCTACAGTGTGAAAATAAACACCATCTCAGCCAGACCCAATACAAATAGGGAGGAAACGTTCTGATAGTATACCAATTTTTTTTTTTTTTTTATTCTCAAAGTAAATTTTCTCATTAAAAGGAAAAAAATAGAAAAAGAAAGACTTCTGTGTTGATGCTCTGGTCAAAATACTTATAATAAGAGAACTGGCTTGGGAATAGATCATATTTTGAACTACAGAACTGAAATCAAGTTGGAAATACCCACACAGCAAGCTTGAAATGCATTGGTACTGAAAATATATATACATGTTAATTTGACTTCTTCTAAATTTAAGAACATTTTGATTAAAATCTGAACAATCAGGAATTGGGGGTTTAATATATTACTAATTAAACATTAGTTATGTGTTTTCATCTATAATATGATCTAATGATATTTTTTAATGGCTTCATTTGTAGGATGAGTTACTTCCTAAACTTTTCTAAATTTTATGTCTCAAAAATGGTAGGAGATTTAAAATTTAAAAAATAATGTTCATGAAAACATATTTTATGCTATTCCTTTTTATGACATAATGGTATAGCCTTTGTAGGAATCATAAGATTATAAACTTGGAAAACAAATTTTCTTAAGGTAATTGGACATTTTCAATCTCCTGACTGAACTGAAATCTGCTGGGTACAAGCAACAGTCTTGGTAAGATAAAGCCATTTCTTCAGAACAATGAAAACATCAGGTTTTTGATTCTCTTGTGCTAAGATTCTAAGATTCAAAATGTTTTTTGTCAGAGAATCAATATATGCAATTTCTTAGTGGCAAGCTATTGCCTTTGAAAAATTGCCACTATGGTATTTGTGTCTAAATCATAATATAAAAAAAAAAAAAAAAACAAAAAACAAAACAAAACAAAACAAACCTAAAAATAACTACCAAGTGCCTGTAGCTTTAATACTAAAATTCTGAAGCAACTAATAAAGTCAGAGGGGTTAGCCATCATAGTAGTTTTGGCAAGCACAGATTTGACTAGTTCCTCCATAATTAAACTGTCTGTGGCCCAGAAGCATTTTGTCGAGAAAAAGGTAAGACAACTGTGGTAAAAGGGAAGCATTAGCAGTTTTTACAAAGCCTGGGAAGGCCAGAAGTAGATTTTCTGAGTGAAACAGGCAGTAATTTGGAGATAAAGGGGTCAGAAGGAAAAATATTTCCAAAAACTTTACTTTTTGTATGTGCTGGTTTTTTTTTTCCCAAACATGAATTTGTAACCAGTGATTGACAACAGAATACTGAATCCATAATAGTCATATAATTGAGGGGAAAAAATGTCCTTATCTTTGTCTATCCTATTTTTCTCTCCATTGACATTTATTTTTGTATTTTTCTTTCCATCGTTCTCTGTTTCAATAAGGAAAAAAAAATACAGTACTAGCAAAATATACCAAATCATGAAGTTCTGAAAGGAACCAGCTCTCAATTACATGATGTCGGGGTTTGGCAAGGGCTGCAGCAGCTCAGATATCATTGGCATGTCATTATATTGTGACTGGGTCCACTATCTAGCCAGGCTTTATCCATCTTGGTGGAACTGATAGTGAATGTCATTTCATAGAATCATAGAATCATAGAATCAGATGGGTTGGAAAGAACCTCTGAGTCCAACTCTTGATCCACTACCACCACAGTTACTAGACCATGGCACAAAGTGCCACATCCAATCTCTTGTTAAACACCTCCAGCGATGGAGAATCCACCACCTTCCTGGGCAGCCCATTCCACTGCTTGATTAATTTGTGAGAATCTGAGCTTTTTATGAAGATATTGATTCTCTAAAGCCTGAATTAACACATTGTTGCATGGGACTCTAAAGAGGAACTGGGTTGCTGTGTTCTCAAGTTTTCCCTGAGCCTTCTCCTGCAGGAGGAGAAAGATTGGTCTTGGAACAGGCAACTTTAATCCCCTTTCCCTTATCTCAGCTGCACACAAACACTGATATGGTGCAGAAGGGCTTTGTATTGCGTCAAGATTTGGCTGCATCTGGGGAAACTATGGGTTGGAAGTGCTGCACGACTTGACAAACAGGACAGACTGTACAGGCTGAGCTGCTGCTCTATGTGGAGGCAGGGTCCTGTGCCACATTCCACTCATAGCCACGAGGAAAAGAGTGACTTGGAGGAAGCAGTATGTCTCAGAAGCATGCACACAGTGCACTTATGTCCTTCTGTTCTGGTTTGCAAGAAATGTATCCCCTGTTTGTCTGAAAACCCAGTGAGTCTGAAAAATAGTCAGAGGGTAACGAGGTCACATTTCTCTTTCATTTCCAAACAGTTCCTACGTCACTGAAAATAAAAACAGTGATTAGAAAAATAAAACCAGGAAAATTCAATGCAACTTGCTTAGAAAGCACAGATCACATTCTCCAGGGAAGATAAGAGCAGATAGGACTTGCACTGCTGATCTGTGTGCAGCAGAATAGAGCTTCCTCAGCCAAATGGCTCAGATACATCTCCAGTGCTATGAAGTTACAGGACAAGATATAGAGCAGTGATTTGCTTATCAGTCTTTCCTAATCCACTTGTGCGTCCTTTCCACTTTATGAGGACACTTGTTGCTGGGTGTGATTGATGAAGCATTAGGCACACACAGTTGCACTCACATCACTTTGCTGTTCAGCTGCTAAAAGAGATACAGGTCTGTGACTTGTTCACTGCCAATTAACAGTTTATTTTGATGGCAGGAGCAATTCTTATATACAGAATAATGATTGGAGGAGTAGTTAAAGTAATTAACAGTACTGAAGAGAAATCTTTTTCAAGAAGTTATTTGAACTAAACCCAAAAATTAATAGGAACCACTGTTGTTATCAGTAGAGAAAGAGACAAAGTGGGTTTTATTTCTTTATTTCCTCACTGCAATTTCTTCACAGTAAGTTTGATTTCATCTTGTTCCTGAGCTGAGGAGTCTTCAGAGACTTTGTGCTTGTACTAGTGTTTTAATTTTTAAAGCTCAACAAAACAAATCCTGTAATAACAAAGATAGCGAATAAAGGTGTTTGTGAATTAGTTTTTTTGTTTTGTTTGTTGTTTTTTTTAGGGGGTTGTTTCTTTGGTTGTTGTTTTTGTTTGCTTGTTTGTTTGTTTCATTCAGTACTTGTCTGATTGGCAATTTGTACTTTTTTAAAGGATTTTTCTTTTTACATTGATTTTTTTATCAAATAAAAATGCATTTTCAGGGAAACTTGCTGAAATGCCATGTTTTGGAATAGGAGATTATTATTCCATTGAAATATGAAAAACAAGCTTAATGATAGAAATCCTAAGAAAGTGATATATTAAAACTTTACCATGTAATAATTTTAAAGATTTTTTAAGTCGTTTGAAAATCATCTATTTAATTAAATTATTTCCTAAATCAGCAGAAAGTAATTCATTCACAGGTATTGCTACCTTGTTGGAACATTTATGAGAAACTAATCCACTTTCATTGCATTGTGTCAAGTATTCTGCATCCATACCCATATTTTTTGTTTTTTGAAAAGGTCAGGGTTAAGTCATGTTTTATAGTAATATCTGATGTGCAAGTGGGTCTTGAAAGTTTCGCATAAAATATTACTATTAAATGCTCTAGTTATAATTTTATTTTAATCTATTACTCTTTTTAAATCTCTCCATACCTACTTGGAAATTATCTTTTTTCTTCCTGAAACCTTATGCAGAAAATTTGCATGGAGATTACCCATGAAAACAGCTTTTAATTAACAAGTCACTTATGTGCATTGAGAGCAGCCGTAGGCTGCTAGTACTGCCTCAGGGCTGCAGCAGTGCCTGTTGAAACCCTGCCATCCTCCTGTAGGTGATTCTTGGGTGGTAAATCCATCCAGCCACAGTGCATAGTCCATGTGATCCCTGAAGCTTTCCAACTGCATCTGTTCTGTTTTCAGTGGAATGGTTTTCAGAAACATAA